GACAAAGCGAACTGCATGCCAAATACAGACATGACATAAGCCACTCCAGTCACGTGCTGATGATGAGCAGAACATGCCGCCTGTTTAGCGCCCAAGATCCACAGACTGTTTCAAACCCCGCCTAGAAATCTACGGACGTCCGTAGAGCCGTAAATCCTTATGGAAAGTCGTCCAGTACTGTTCCCTGTCTCATCTTTCTCGCGGCGATCGTGCCTCACAGGAGATAGTCGACATCGCTAGCATGTCAGTACACTGCTGCCTTTGGCAAAACTGATGACGCAGACGCAAGTCCAGAACATATTCGGTTAGGTAGCCACTATGTTCTCGGACTAATGCTCGCAGTATGTCGTAATCGTCATACAAGCGTGGGCGTAATACTGCCGTCCTCCATTCTCTCGTGCTGAAATCACGACGATGGTGCCGCACCGGACTAACAGCATTCTACGTGGCGTACAGTGTTAAGCCCGCAGCCCCCGGAATCAAGAAAAGGTTAGTCCCTTGGGGAGTGCTGTAGCGCCATGAATGTAGATCCGAGCTCGTATCAACGACGCTGTAACGCTGGTTCGTGACGACTGATGAGGTCAATCTGTCATTGAGCATTGTAGATGTCGAGAGCCCTAGTTAACACACATTGGATGTATCGAGAACGTCGGCGAAGCGGACCAGTGACACAGGAATAGGGCTTCGGTGAGACAGTGCCATGAGGTGCGTAGTTTCAAAGCAGATTTCCATGACGTCAGGATAGATCTGTGGCCAGCAGTCTAGCAGATCAGTTGTGTCTCCATGGTACTGAACTCACCTCAAGCTACGCGCGACTCTGAGATTCGGCATGTAAAATGCCACGTTGATCATGTTCTATTGATCGTGGTGATCCTACTCAGCTGGACGAGCAACCGCCGCACTTTCCTCCGTCTCCGGTTCCTGGTGCAGTGGCTTGTCAGCTGCTGAAGAGAGGCGAGTTTCGCCGCCTGCCTAGATCGGCACCTTTGGTGCTGAAAAACAGGACGCATATCAGCTGGACATAGTAGCGATCACCCATAACGTGAAGGAACATCAGCTTCAGTCGCAATGTTGGTGCTTGAGGTGTCATGCTAAAGGCGCTGTGGGTATCATAGGCTTTGCGCATATCTCGTCAACGTCCGAGGGCCTCTGCACTTGCAGAGACAATCCGAGGTGAAGGCTCGTAATTCCTACTTGAAGCGTACGGGCCAATATTGATGTTGTTTGCGCTGAGGTCGGCGATCGACCAACGTCGATCAATCGCGCGATGAGGCTTGGTCGGCGCCACTAAATTGCCACCAGGTTCGAGCTCACCTCTGTTCTGCCAGAAACCACTGCCATCTGAAGGAACGCTCATCATTCTCAGCGCTGTAATCGTTGTGTATACGCGGGAATGTGCTCACCCGTGCCGCTCTAGAACCGCTGTTCTACTTCCATGGGCGTACCCAGCACCACTCATGACTGTGCCTGCTGTCCGGCGGGGCTAGTGGTGTGGCCGAATCCGACTCTCGCCACCACGACAAGCAAGACGACTGAATGTACTGCTACCGGAGCGACAGTATGGCTGGAGGCCGCACGCTTGTCCTGCGATCGGGGCGATGGGTATGTCCCGACGGGCAGCGGCGGGGGTGCGTCGTGTCGTGACGGGAAACGAGGCGTGTATTAGCGTGCCGTTTGTCAGGGCGCAGTCAGCCAAGGTAAGCCTTCCAGAAAACGTTACTTCTTCTATGTCCGGACCTGCAGGCATGCTAGAACTTGGTTCCTATCTAATTGAATACGTGTATAACGCACAACGCACTAAAAAGTAGGAGTCTAACCCAGTGAGCTCGAACTGACGTATTAGCTCCGTGGCTTTTTAATGGTCACATCGCGCTAGAACGTTTGAGTATCCACTGGCATAGTACTTGCGAGCGGAGGTCCTTTTTCCCGCTGGCCACGCGTTTCGCTTAAAGCACCTTGTGATCATATTCGCAATGCTGTTGGAAAGTAGACTTGCGGACATGGCAATCTGGTGAAGCTGTACCGATGCATGCACAGATATTCACTGCGCAGCTTCCGACGGTATGCACGACGGAGCCACGGACACATCGAGAAAGCCCTCCGAATCGGACTCGTGGATGCCAAGGGAGCCGGCTCCGAGCGGTATAATTCTTCCGTGCGGAAGGCGACCGAGCCGCTGTCGTTCCGGTCAGCCGGGATAATCGAGCTGAAAATACCCGTAATGAAAGTCCCCCTGATGTTAGCGACGCATCAAGGTCGGTCGATACCATAGCGTAAGCAACTACGCGTCTAACATAGGATTGGACGGGATCTGTTTCACTCACAACTGTGTATCGATATCTCTCTTGGAGGATTCTGAATTACACCATCCAATACGCTCAAAATGCACCCATGGAGATCAGTTTCAGGAAGCAGTCTATAGCGGGCCGGGGAAACAACAAAGGCATCTCCTATTCGTGACATAGCTTGGGCAATCGATACGTACGTAACGTGATGGAAGACTGGTGTGTCCTCTTTCCCTTTCAAGAAGATCACGCCCTGACTTGCCCACGCGCAGGAGATCAGTTCGCGGTCGACCTCGCCCTGTGGCACGCGAGCATGGTCGCGGCTGGCAGCGTAAGCCTCAGTTGTGTCTGCCAGTTTGACAAGATAACAAGATCTCATTTTCAACGCTCAGGGTCAATGGATATCGGCGCCCGCCGGTTTTCATGCATTATCGACCAGCCGAGCTTCAGCTCAGGGCCCTCGGCTATCGAGATCCCTAACCGAAGGCGGAAAAGATGTGATGCGAGCATGCCGATGTAGGCATGGATTCAGTCGCCTCTGCAGGTGCTGCGAGTGCGTCTGCGAGCAGATTGAAGAGGAACGTGCGGCGCGGTTCAGATTCAACTTTTACGGTATAGTAGCACACCCTCAGCCAGTGCTTCGACATGACCGAACTCCCACAGTGTGGTGGTACGCCCACTTCCTTGCAGCCATAAGAACCCTCGTCTGCGTGGTGAGTAGGATGGGACATCCCTCTCGTTTCCGACTATCCGTGCAACCTCCTCCCCCTTTCATTCTTGTAATCTCTGTTGTACATATCACACCCCTATGTCGTCAGACGGTTACCCCAGGCGCACACTGCACCTCCCCCATTCCGATGTCTTCGCTCAGTCCGTCCATTACATGGACCATAATGATCGCGCATACCTCTCCTACGAGAAGGCGAAGGCTATCGGTCTCTCCTACGGTTCGTCTGTTCTCGATTGCTCTACTAGTAAGTCGTAAGGTAGACTGATCTGCCTCTGGTAGATATGACCATTGACGACATACTGTCGCTCACCCCCAAGTTCTGGCAACTGCACAACGACCCCGCTGTCCTGCTGGATGGAGGCGCTATCACACTGCTCACTATTCAATATAACCTCTGTGCGGGTACGATCGCCCGGTACACAGGACGACGCCCAGAGCTCATTCCTCTGGTCGAGGACCTGTTGCAATACCGTAAACAGTATGTGCCTCTTTCCGCTTCCGTTGCGAAGTGTTCCCTTCTTACGGTAAATGAAAACTTTCATTTCTAGTGGACAGTTCATGATGACGGAACTTGGCCACGGGCTCGACATCGGCAACATCGAAACCACGGCGACACTGCTTCCGTCTGGAGAATTCGCGCTCAATTCCCCCACACCGGGCGCTGCGAAGTGAGCATTATAGCGTCTCAGAAGCTCACACAATCCTTGACTTCGAAATCTGAACAGATTCATGCCACCCACGGCTCCCGCTGGGCTACCATGCGTCGCTGTTGTCTTCGCTCGTCTGATCGTGGATGGCGAAGACCGGGGTCACCGGCCATTCATCGTCTCTCTCAATGACGGCAAGCAGATGTGCGCCGGTATTCAATCAAGGTACGTCAGCGGCTATATTTCTCCTACGAGTGTTCGGGTGCTTCCGTACAGCGTCTGACAAACTTCCTCAGAGTACTTCCATACCGTGGCGGCCCTAATCCTCTCACCCACTCCCTGACGACGTTCACGAATGTTCGCCTGCCACGTTCGGCGCTGCTCGGGTCGCTTGAGAAGCCCGCCAACTTCCACGCCAACCTCATGGACATCATCTGGCGCATCACCATAGGCACGATTGCTCTGGGCTGTCTTGCCCTGCCATTCATGCAATGTTACGCGACCATCGGCACCATGTACTCTCTCCGCCGCCAAATCGGTCCTGTCTCCGATCCGACGCGGCGGTTGCCTATCCTCTCGTTCCGTACCCAGCAAGCCCCCATCCTCGCAGTGACTGCGAATGCATATGTCATGCAGGCGCTCCAGCGATGGGCGATTGGACGGTTCTGTGACCAGAGCTTGGATAGTCGTGTGCGACATGGGATCGCAGCAATTTTCAAGGGCGTGATGGTCCAGCATTCCCAGCAGGGCGCCCTGGGTGTCTCGGAACGATGTGGTGCGCAGGGTCTGTTCGTCCACAACCAGATGTCGTGCCTCCATGTGAGTCTCATACTAGTCTTCTCATCCCACGGTGTGGGCATATGTGGGCGTATTTCTGATTTCAATCGTGTCGCTCTAGAACGAGATGCGTGGGATTGCAATCGCTGAGGGTGATGTCCTTGGTCTCGCCGTCAGTAAGTCGCAACCCGAAACATGTCTCCGGCTATGTACTGACCTCCGCCTCATCTGCGTAGGGCTCGTGAACGAACTCCTCCTTGGACGCTACAATATGCCGCCACCTGTGGATCCCAACTCCCTTCTTGCTCGCCACGAGGCAGGGCTATTCCAAGAGCTTCGCGACATCATCAAAGAGGTCCCCCATCATCGCAGCGCAGAGGTGAACCGCCTTGTTCTCCCTCACTGCCAGCCTGTCATGGAGGCGATCGGGCACCGGATGGCATATGACGCCGCAGTCGCGCAGGGCGTGCGACCGTGCCTCATCGACCTCTACGTCGCTAACGTCGTGCGCCTCGATCCTGCGTGGTACGTCGAGAACGCGGGGCTGGGCCGGCGCGCGCAGCAGGAGATGGAAACGAAGGCAATGGACGCGACTCTGCCCATCCTGGGCGAGCTCGTGAAGGAGATGGACGTCTTCGCGTACGTCACAGCGCCGATTGTCTCCGACGAGCGCTGGGCGGCGTTTGTCGACTCGCTCAAGGTCTTCCGGGGCAACGCGCGCGTCGAAGCGCTTGGAACCCGAGGGCGCGCGGGTCGCGATACGGAGATGGTGAGGTCCCACCTGTGATTATCGGTCTGTGCACGGGTGACTTGACTCTCACTACTATTCCCATATTCTATGCGCCCTCTTTCCCTATGTGCTTGTCTTGCATCCTTGCTCATCACTAGTATGCCGAGTTGATTCCTGTCTTTATGAGCTACGTGTTGTAGACTAACATACTCAGCCTGTCTTTGTACTATTAGGTCATGTTGTACTAATCAGTCCCGCGCTCATGGTGTTGGTGAAAGCCGTCTTAGAATGTATTCCGAAGATTGTCATACGTCAAACAAGCACCATCTCGCGCGACACGAGGTAACCCCGAGCGGAGGTAGAACCTGACCATCGCCTAGACGCGAATCTATGAGATCAATTCTGAACATCTAGATCTAGTGTCGTAAACATGAAGATCATCAGTGCTCTAGCCTCGCGAACCGCCGCGAGGTGAACTTTCTCCATTCCGACCCCACGAACACTTCCGCTCCCCGTCCTTGCTCCCCGCACATCGTGTCTCCCACCCCTACACATGCGCCGTGGCTCTCGTCGAGCCACGAGCCTATGTTATTGAGGGACGACGGAAGAAGACGTTCCGCCAAGCGCACCATCCGCTTCGCTAGTCTCAACTCCTCCGGCGCCCTCACCCACGACACCCAAGTCGGCACCAGGCGGACGGACGGATGGAGCGTCCTGGACCACTCCTGCGGAGCCGGTAAGGGACTCGGGGAAACGCACGACTTTCGTGGATGTCAGCGCACGGCCCTTCGCGGCAAGGTGCGTCGCGATCTCGTCCTCGGCAGGGAAGTGGACCGTGCGTGCGGACAAGGAAACGGGCGTCTGTGCGCCGGAGTCCGTGTGTGGGACGGAAACGTCACCGGGGGTCTGCGCACCGGAAGGTGGCAGGACGAGCTCGTCGACGGACGCTACGAGAACGGGGGACGCGTTGGGGCTGCGAATGGCGCGGCTTGGGACGTTGAGGGTGAGGGAGGGCAGTTGTGTCGCTGTTCGTGCGTCGTCTGCGGTAGCGTCTTCGCATGGAATCTTGACATCGCGTTGTGCGAGAGATCAGGTTCTGCGGGCCAGCGGGGATAGGCAAAGGTGGTTACGTACATGGACCGCGCTCGTGCTCTCTTCCTCCTTCAGCTCGTGCGACCGGGGAGCCGGCGGCAAGGTCGCCGTCACGTCGCTAAGCATCGCCGCCGGGCCCAGTTCAGGAACGCGCTCCTCCATTTTCGCACCATTCCGCGACATCGTCACGGGCCCGGTCAACCCAGTGTTGACTTCTTGCGTCCCTCGCTCCACGTCTCGCTCCTCCGTGATTGGGGAGCCCGGTCGAGTGATCTCCGCGGGAGTGCGGCGGGCCCAGAGCAGCCAGTCTGGCGTGTTCGTGGTGCGCGAAGTCCATGTGTGTGAGAGCGAGATAGTCCGCGAGCGGACATTGCGCCCGAAGGAGAAGAACGGGATGGACAGGCCATCTGGGGAAGACAGACAGAATGTCAGGACCTTCGACAACGTGTGGGCGCGCGGGAGAACGGGGGGCGTACGTATGATGATTGATCCGAGTACGACGAAGGAGACGATGGCTTGTAGCGTCGCAGCAAGCGTTTCAGCCTGATCTTGCGGCGGAGATTGAGGAGTCGGTAACTCCGTAACGGCCAACGTGGAGACGAAAATCGCTCCGACACCCATCTGACATACGCGATGCGGAAATAGTTAGTGAGCGACATGAGGAATGGTATCTGCAAGGATATCACTCACGGGACCTATTGCAGAACAATCAGACTGACGATGTCGCGAAGGAACAGTAGGCGCACGCACCAAAGTGACCGGAGAAGAGCGCTTCTCTCCATGAAGCGATCTCCGGGACCCATGGATAGAGTAACAAAAGTGGCGGGTTCCGACGCAATAGCATCACAGCGAGGAACACGATGAAGAGCCGCCAAGGTGTGAGATCAAGCTCGGGCGCGTTGAACATGTTGAACGGCATCCAAGCGCCGATATAGATGAAACAGCCGCAGTTCAGCACGAGGTCAATGACCGAAGAGAAGATCTCGTCTTCGATTTGCGTGTTGAAGTGGCCGTCCCAGCTGATAGCGGAGCCTACAAAAGATGGTACGTGAGGTATGAACAGTCACTCTAGCATGGGAAGCATACCGGCGGCGAAGGCAGCGAGTAGGTCATCACTTCCCAGCGTGCGTGTGATTCCGACCGTGAACAGAGCTAATGCCAGATACTGAGCTACGTAAGACTCTCTGTCAATGAAGCCCTTCTTGTGCGAGAACTTCATGAAGTGGGAGAAACCAAGGCCTGTCTCATAGTCAGCAGTCCTTCGCTAGCTCGAGTATATCGCTGGAGACCCACCCAAAACACCACCGATAACGGTGCCCAGGATCACTTGATCTGCTCTGGCGTTGAATGGAAGATGACATGCCACGCAAAAACGGGAACGTACATAGCCAACCCACAAGGAACCACTCTCCGACGGCGACTCGGGTGGAGCTTTCAATTGTCAGATATATCGAGATACTGAGGAAGGGATAGGCGAGGCCATCATTGGCAGCAGACTCAGCCGAGAGAAGGCGACGAAGGTTCAGTGGAACATGCTTGGTAGCAAACTTGCCCCCTAGTTCGATATGTTAGGAGCAACGCACAGCCACTTCATGAAATGGGACATACCGACGATAGCGGCCGAGATGATGGGGTCTGTAGGCGTCAAGCATGCCGCAATGACCATGGAGGAGATGAAGTTGAGATTAGGGAACACAACGAAGATCACCGCTTTGGGACAGACGACGTCAGGAACATCGCGATAGAAGACAGACTCAGCGACGCACCTGCAACCACTAACCAGCCGAACGCCATGGTGGGGACGACCATGATGAGGAGACTCTTGGCATGGTCAGCGAGATAGGATTGTGGGAGTTCGACACCTATGGCGAAGAGCCCAGCAGCAAGAGTGATTCTCGTAACCTCGAGCGTAATGGTGTTCACGTCTCCGCCCCAGGAGCGTGGGTTGAATGCGTTAGCGCAGTACGGTCCAAATATGACGCCGCAAGCTGTTCCGAGAACAACTTCGTTGATATAGAGCTACGCAGAACGTATATCGCGATGAGCGAACACGAAGTAGACCGACAGCATTCATACACACCTTCTCTTTGACCAGTAGTGAGAACATAGAGAACTTCAAAGTACGTCAGACAGCAGAACACCGCATAGCACAACGGGCAGCACTCAAAATCCTTTCGCATGAAATGGAGGTCATTCTTGAGACACTCCTAACTCGACCATGCGCGCTGGAGGGCGCTCAAGGCTCGGGAACGGAAGAGGTATGCTTGCCCAAAGACCTTCCATCTCTTTCACAAAGAGTGATTCCAAGGGATACACGTCGTGTAAGGCTTCAATGCGGTACTCACCGCAACCACGAACCCTCCTATGACCATGTAGGCTAAACCCGGGTCGGTGACCTGACAGGCGAGTTTGTGAACTGAATAACATGAGAGGATGGCACACGGACTTCTATGAGATGGAGATGCATAGCTTGAAGGCGTTTTGCTGCGTTTGATGTTTATGTGAGGCTGCCGTTCTGAGTCCACAACTATTGAACAGAGAAGATTGCGAGGATAGTTATAGACGATGAGGCGCAGAGAGTAACTTAGGATTCGCCGAAACAGCGGACCTAGGCATCCGCTCCGGTCACGTAGCGCCCGACAAGTGCTAATGACGTAACTCTTACTTTGTTCACCCCACGCAGGCAGTCGGGTGTTTTCGACCAGAGAAAAGTCGATGAAAAAGGAGAGACGAGGAAATCACCCATGAAAGCGTGGCTTTTCTGAACAAAAGTCTGAAGAACAGTTGCCTCTCATTTATGTCGTCGACTTTTCTCCGATCAATAATATGCGAATGCCTGCCGTGCCCCGAACTATCACTCACGTCCGAATCCTGGCAAGTACAGCAATGAAGAGGTCCTTAAGATACACAATCACCTCCGCGAATACGAGCTCTCCCTCTCTGGCCTGCGCGCAGCTCTGAAGACAGCAAGAGAGGCTGTTTAAATGCCAAAGTGCAAGACGCACTCCTACGGAATCATGCAATGCGCAGTAGTATCCCAATTGTTGCCTCTCGGATGGCATATTCCAGATCAAACAATATTAGCATGGTGTCGCATACACGACGGGCATTGGCCAATGCCCCGGACCCAAACTGGGACAGAGAAATGGCCTGGGAATGGATGCCTGTCACAGGTTATGTCCCAAACACCGCGTGAAGCGCCGGATTACGGAGGTTAGGGAACAAGGAGAGGATGAGCACATTACCACCGCATTCCCAGCATGTTCCCACCACATTACACTGGATTAGGGGATGTCATGGTATTAACTGCCTTCCGCTCACATTCCGTGCATTTTCCCCACATATTACTTAGACATTGCGCACCCTGCGTAACATGGGATCAAATGGGATATCCACTTTTGTACCATAATTATCATTTGTATTCATATGAGGTTTGCAGTTCGGCACCTCATATATGTCCCAATATAGGCAGGTGGTTGGTTATTGGCTTTTGGGCCAGCGAGAACATATATTCATATGCGGAATATATATATTCGAAAGCCGACTCTTTGACGCTACAGCCCAAGTACTAGTGTCTAAGAATCTGTAGACCAGCCTAATAAAACACCCCATTTATACCATGCGCCACAGTCAAAATGCGGTGATGTCCTACAACTGATCCAGACATTAAGCAAAGCTGAGACAGCATGCACAATACCAAACACACACACCTAACTGCGCATATATGCAACGACAATGTCAGTATATGGGTGCTGCTTGGGCAATATTAGCAGTTTGCTATCAAGCTGAGACTTCAGAGACTCACCATCAAGTTACGATGAATGCTGGACAACAGCCGGGCCTACTAGATGCTATCAGACTCCATGCAAAGACTTTGTATACAACATCAGAAGACTCACCATTGCCCTGATTAGTAGATGTACCTATAAGAGCCTGCAAACGCCTGCATAGTGAGACTTGGACATCAGCTGACATCCGGAAGTCAATGGTCAGTACGTACCAAGAAGAGGGCAGGCACAAGGCTCGAGGGAATGGAAGAAGTATGAAGTCAAGTTGCCTATGCATGCGATGTCGCCGTGTTAGACTGATATGGGGTCAGGCGACGACGACGTCATCGCGGTCAGATAACTTGATGATTTTGGACAGGCAAGTCCCCCTTGCGATAGCAATCTGCCAAAGCCGTTGGGGATGTGGAGGGAATCTGGAGAGAATGTGCATGTTCCCAGCAGATCCCCATCAAGGGGGAATATACTGAGGAATCCGTGGGGAACATGCGCGGGATACGTAGATTCCCAGCATGGTCCCTGCCGACGTAATCTGGCGCTTCACGCAGTGAAAGCCTAGCTCCGGACCTGAGCCATCCGGCGCTAAAATTCCTAAAGGGAAATACTAAGGCTGACAAAGCCAATGACATAAGCATATATACCCTTGTTGGACAGTCTCGAGCGCCAATATCCTCTTTATGGTATCAGAGCGCCCGCTGGCTCGGGTCCGGAGCTAGGCATTGGGACATGACCCCCAGTGAGAATCGACATGGGCTTGGCTGTTTTAGGTCGCTTAGTGCTGTTATTAGTGGGGAACCCCGACCATAATCTCAATTCTACTGATTTCCCTACTTTGGCTGCATGCAGCTGGATAAGGTGGTATGGTCGCACGATGCCATACAACCATACGCCGGGTCATCTAGTATGTCATCGGTTGCGGCTGGTTGCGCTCGAGTCGCGCTGGGTCTGGTTGGGCAGGGATGGTTGTCGTCGATACATGTCATTGAATGTGAATTGATTGATACTGTATACAGTTGGATGTCATCGTACGGCTACACGTTACGATACAGTTACGAACAGAAATAGCGGAATGGACAGGGACCAGAGTGAAAACAGTTGGATTTGGTGGGATACAAATGGGATCAGCGTCTCCGAGTCATGCCACTGGCGTGCATACCATGCGGCCGTGGAGCTGCCCGGATGCGAGCCACCGACACAGGTGGGAGGGCGACACTGCCGACATTGGACTTGAACACGCTTGATTGTGATACTTGGGGTAACCTGAAGGTGGGCTCATCAGTAGGGATCGGCAATGGGACTCAATAGCGGTGCTCCACACGTACCGTCTACGATGGAACAACACATCCGAGTTTCTGTGTTGACAAAAGATCAGCCAGGCACAGGAACATATTTAGGAACCCTGCAATCTGAGGGACTTGAAGTCTTGTACTAGTAGTGCACCCTGAAGGCCTTCAGCATGCCTTTCCCATCCATGTACCATTTGCGGGAGTAACCCACCTACAACAGCAAGCGAACCTGGTACCTAACACTAACACTGTGAGTGAGTTGAACGGTACATACTTTGCGCCCTTCAGGTCAGGTGGGGGAGGCCACTGCGTTGTCTTGCGAGGTGCGCACATTGTTTCCGTCGCTGTTGTCTGCATGATCGTGTCGGGAGGCTGTGTCAAGGGGACAGTGACTGCGAAAGCGACGTAGTGGGAGATGATAAACTCGGGGCTGTGAAGACAAGGATTAGATCCGACTAGAGTCGAAGCAAGATCTTCAGTCAGTAAGGAAAGACTATATTGCAGTAACCAACTGTACCTAGAGTCGAAGCAAGACTACAAAGGTTAAGTAAGTAACTACAAGTTAGAGGTAGATATAATGAAGTACTCACTCTTCAGTCAGTAAGGAAAGACTGAAGAGGGAGAACGCAATCTGAAGTCCTTATATACTACAGAGAAGTGTCCATGACTAATCGAAGAGTGGTTAGTCACATGTACCATAGTGCGATGAATAATACAATGACAAAAGAATTGCGACATATCGCACCATAGGATGAGTAAGAGATGAGTAAGGCATAGACCTGTCTAGACCGTTCTGGAGTAGTACGGATTGTCCTAGACAGTACCAGAAGAGTCCGGAAGCATAGCTATAGTACACGAGCAGAGAGTCCCAAATATAGGTAACATACTACATAA